GTGGGGTCCCCGCAGAACTACTTTCCAGCTTTCCAGAATTCTTTGGTCGTTTATTGTGGCCAACCGGTTTTTCCATTCTTTTTTCTGTGGGGTCCCACCCTAAGTTTGGCTGCTACCGGTGTATTCGGTAAGAGCAAGCGCATACGGCTTCGGGCCTGGGCTAGCAGTGTCCTGTGGAGGCCAGTGTGAGAGGCCCAGTTGGAGGCTTGGAGCCTCGGAAGGTAGCTACATTGGGTTGTGCTCCTCAGTCCTTACGTTGAGGACTCCACATCAAAAAATTAGGGGTAACTTCAGTACAGTCACAAAAACGAGTTATAATTGCACTATGGGGCAAGATACAGTTTGCAATTGCACTTTGGGCAACCTACCTGGCCAGAAAGCTGGGTTGTATGCATTGCCTGAACTGCAATTCAAAATTGAATAGTACATAACCCGTTACTTTCGGAACAGTCATGGATTCGTGGTTGAGGGCACTGTGGGTTGAATGAAAACGGACTTTACTTTAAAGACCAGTTGAATGCCCCCCTTCTCGTTTCCCAAGTAAACTCTTTATAGACGGTTCCGTGCACCGGACTTTACTTTAAAGACCACCTGAGTGGCCCCCTTCTCGTTTCCCAAGTAAAGTCTTTAAAGAAGGTTCGGTGTACGGGATTGCGTTTCTGCTCCAGTTGAAAAACATGTTCATTATTTACCAGTTGTAAACGGACTTTACTTTAAATACCATCTGAATGCCCCCCTTCTCGTTTCCCAAGTAAACTCTTTAAAGACCGTTCCGTGCACCGGACGTCACTTTAAAGACCAGCTGAGTGGCCCCTTTCTCGTTTCCCAAGTAAACTCTTTAAAGACGGTTCGGTGCACGGGACTGCGTTTCTACTCCAGTTGGAAAACATGTTCACTATTTACCAGTTGTAGTGGGGCACGACTTTTGTTAGTTTTTCGAAAACTGTGGCCTATGGAGCCCCATGCAAATTTATGAACGGAACGACATTAAAAAAAGCTCAAACTAGGACTGTGGAGCACAAGCCGTAGGCTCCATATATTGGCCGCGGGCAGTTTTGGAGGCCCGAAACAATAAACTTGAACAGGTCACCAATGAAATATATCAACGGCAACCCGAATCCCGCTTGCCTTCTGTATAACCCACCGCATTGTGTTTTCAAGCCAAAAAAGTTACTGGTGATTTAAAAATCTTAAAAAGCACAGCCTTTATGTTAGATTTTTCAAGATACCTCCAAGAGGTGGAGGTACCTTGAAGGATCTTGACAAGGTACCTATTTGAGGTATCTTGACAAATCTAACAAAAGGGTGGCGCGCCATTGGCGGCTGTCCGAGTACCCAATTGTTGGAGACCTACTGGTAGAAACTTTGCATTTTATCTTTTTTTCCCCTCTTGGTGTGCTAAATGTGATCACAACCCAGGTCAGGTGCAAATTGACCCAATTCCTTCCCCCCCCCCCCCCCCAAAGAAAAAAACAACAACAACCCAATCTCATGGACTGAAACGAATTGATCCCATCAGATGAATTTAGACTGAAAATAGATTAACTCTGAATTATTATCCAGAGGGACGGTCGGTTTGATGATGATGCCTTCCCTCCCCCCCCTCCGCCCCCTCAAAATTCAAATTGAATTACTTTCTATGATTGGTGACGATGATGCCTCAAGGAGCTCCTCCTTTGAGAAAAGAAAAACGGAATAGAAAGGAAAAGATGGGTTTCATTTCATTTCAGCAGTCGTCCATCCATATCTCCTATGTAATGCTTGTGCATTCTGTTGATACATGGGCTACTGTCTTCCCTCTAACACACCCTGAAAAATTATCAAGCTATCTTTGCGGCCAGGTGCAACCAACTGCGGCTTGAAACGGGGCAGAGTGTCTGGATCATGCTGTAGATATTGCCCCTTGAAAAAAAAAAGGAAAAAAGAGGGTGCGTTGTGTCCGGGGGAAGACGGTAGCAATCTCCAAAAATTTGCATCTCCAAAAAAATTGCCCGGTCGCCAAAATTTGGCGTCTCAAAAACTTTTGCCTCTCAAGGCTGTCATCCAGGCGTGAGAGAGACCAAAAATTTGCATCTTCAAAAAAATTGCCCGGTCGCCAAAATTTGGCGTTTCCAAAACTTTTGCCTCTCAAGGCTGTCATCCAGGCGCAAGAGAGACATTAACATTCCTAAAAAGTCATGAATGGTATTTGAATACGAACTGGCGTAGCTCGGCTGGTACACCCCTGGATTGCTGAAATGCAGACCTGAGTTCAAATTCTACTACAGACCTGAGAGTTCAAACTCCACAAGAAGCGGACAAGTAAGGGGCAGATCCAACTTCCTGTAGGTGAGGCACTTTTAGGGAAATTTTTGGATCCCAGTTCTTCCCGCGCGACGTGGAGGTCGTCCTGATAATCCGAGGATATGAAAACATTGTTCGCAGCCCTTAGGCTGTGGTATAGTGGGCTTCCGCGTCTGTGTCAAGGTGTCACATTTTTGGCGGCGGACGACCAGGACGCAAAGTGGGTTCTTAGGGGGCAAAAAAATTTGGGGGGCCGTTCCTTGGCAAAATTGCGGACTACCTACAGCTAACTCTGGTAGAACCGGGACTTTTGGAAAAAGGAAGGACCGGTCCTCGGGTGGAAGTGGACCCCAAAAAGAAGTGGGGGGTGTTGGACCGGTCCCCGGGTAGAAGCGGACCCCAAAAAGAAGTGAGGGCATGTGGACTGCAAAAGGGCCCTCAGGCCCAGGCATTGAGCCCCGTCTTCTCAAAACAGGGAGGTCAGGCACAACGAAATATGCGTTTTGCAAGAGGCAACTTTGGCGATTTTCTGTGCTCGGACAAACATGCACAAAAATCTGAAATTTTGAGAATCCATAGATGAGGTCGTGTTCTTTCCATAAATAATAATATAACATTTACAAAAAATCATTTACACTGTGAAATAATCGTCACGCCGATTCGACACATTTTCCCTTTTTGCCACTCAGCCATGCCTGGGCCAACTAAGGCACGCAAGTGGCATTCAGGAGGTTGTGGGTTCAAGCCCCATGACCGCCTGCGGCGCACTTATTGCCAACGAACTGGGATAGTCCTCTGCATACTCCTGATCGGTATTAGTGGAATCTATGTCCAACATGGGTGTGAGTGCGAGCGCGAGTGGGTTGTGTGTGGTGTGTGGGAGAGTGTTGGCCATAGCCACTGCTGCTACTCGATGAGGGGTGGGGGACGATGAAAAAGGGAGGCGCAGCTACTGGCAGGTCTCGGTCTTTGTGTTAGCCAGACCCCCACTGGCGGCCCCAACCCTATACCCTAAACATTAGGGGCAACGGGCAACATGAAATCTCCCCTTCACAGTGAGAGGAAACTATGCTTGCAGGGGTCCCCTCTAGATAGCCTTAGGAGTAGGTAGTGAAAGGCAAAAACAGAAGTTGAGAGAATAATATAGAAAAAAAAAAAAAAAGTACTCCAAATTCAGTGAGCTTTCACGCTCAGAAGAATGCGTGAAAAAACCTGAAAATTGGAGTACTCGTAGATTTTGTTGTGATCTTTCCAGGAAAAACGCTAAATAAATTAAAAAAAAA